GCAGTCCCTGTTATAAGTTTTTCTTCAAAGCTCTCTTCAATGTGTTCTATTAGTGCGAGGACTTGACCGGTGCAAGATTTGCCGGTTTGATTCCTCCTTGTTGTGGAGATGAGGTGCTTTGTCATTTTGTTTCTTTCTGGCGAGTATAAGGTCTCTCGTATAGTTTGAAATCGTATGTCCAGTAGTAATTTATAGCTATTAAAAGAATTAGAAAAAAAGTGTAATACCTAAATGTTTTGTTGCAAAAGGTTTGAATAAAGATCAAAAGCTGCGAAAATAACAGGATAAGTGAGTTCTTGGTAATTAAAATATACAATAATGAACTACAATACAACCAATATTAAATATTTTGTAAATATATTGAGTAGCATAAATAAAAAAACTTAAATTATTGTTCCTATAAATCTTAGTATTATCCGACAAGTGAGAGCTGGCGGGTGAGCTGCGCGTGAATAGAAAAGGAATTATTCTAAGAGAGATAGGAGAGGTACTTAATCGCGGGTGTCACAAATGCGTAGTTGCCGTATCAAAAATTTAGTTGGGATCTGAAAATTACGTCAATAGATATGTTCCGTAGATTGTCATTGCGTGTGTGAAAAACTTATTTACACGAAACAAAATAAAAATAATAATAATACATATTGAATAAAACGTAAAAAAATTTGTTAATATATTTATTTTCATAAAACGTAATTAATTCTCGAAGGGAAGGTATTTTTGTATGTATCGCGGACTGATGCAACTTGTGTGTCTTAATGATTACTAAACACTAAATTAAAACAACACAGAACACACATTCTTTGTTTATTTTTCTAAGCCAAACGGTAAACTCAAGTATTATAGGCCTTTTATCTTGTGATGTTATTGCTTACAATATCATGTTTCGTTTCCCATTTATGAAAAATGCAACGATTCAAATGTAATTAAAGTTCCAGCATATCTGTAGTAAATAAACATGATGTATTATCAATAATAGTGAACTGTAAAGTACTAATTAACTGATCCATTGTTTACTTATTATTTACTGCTATTTTTTTGTTCTGTAAAGTTTTTATTTATTTATTGATTATAATTTTATTGATTGTAACTTAAATTAAATTATTTAAATCTGAATTTATTTTGAAAATGAGTATTATAATTACCAGTTAATTGAGCTACACGTTCTTGTATCTTTTTTAAATCAACTAAGACTTTATCTGCATTAGCTTCTTCGGTTGTAAACTTACAAACATTGAAAATTATTTCTCGTGCTTGAGATCCCAGAGGTTTTCCTTTTAATATACTTGTCATTTTAATAAATATAAATAATTAGTTTATATATAGGGCCACTCCAAATAAAAATGTAAATACTTGACAACACTGTCAGAAATCTAGCACTAATTACACGATGTGAACTCCTAGCCGACTGCCATAGAAATGAGCAATCCCTTCCACTTTTCAATTTGTTCTATGCGCAACCCGCCAGCTCTCGCTTGTTGGATAATAATGCACTTTTATAGGAGTGAAATTTTAGATAAGTAAATTAATAATTTTTATGTCGTTATTATTTAATTTCGTATTTTATTTTCATTATTCAGTCACTATACTATTTATACAATTTATTTTATCATATGTAGTCTTTTACCTATAACATTAAATATATATTCCTTTGAAATATACCAAAAATTTTTAACTATTTAGACCACATTGTAAATTTCGTATTATGGCAACACTGTTACACGTTGGCACTTGTTTACACACATGTATACACACAAAGTTGGCGTTGGAAACGCAAAATTTCAGAATAACAATCCGGTGGTTTTTAAATTTAATTAAAATTAGATTTTTTTGAAACTCATTTTGGTTACATGTAGTACGTGATTAAAGGGTAAAGGACAATGTCGCATTGGATATAAAAGATAAAAAGCAGAATCGAACATCGTGACATATTTGTTAATCAAAAACAAAACTGACTGTGTATTTATTGACTTTTGAATCCAATCACAATTGCATAGCGGTTCACTATATTAAACTTGAAATTATTTCACAAGTACAAAGCAGCAGCATGTGCCATATTTGTAATAGTAGCATATTGATTGATTTTATCAAGTTATTCATTTCAGCGAAACGAAAATACCAGTGGAATTTGCGTATATTTCTACACATATTTTGTTAATATTTTCTTGTTTCTCTTTCTTTTTCCTTTTGTTTCTTTTTTTTATTTTTTCCATCGTTAATCTTCATTGTTTTTCCGTTGCCAAATGTATATATTTTAATTAAGAAATACAATGCACAAAAACCGGCGCTTTTGATAACAAAACCCACTCCATATATTATAGTTGCAATGAAAATCAACACATAGGTGGAGTTGTATTTATTGTAGATCAAAGACTTTTGATTTCGTCCACGCCACTTTCGTCTTCAAACTCATTTCTTTCATTTCTATCGTCAGAATCAAGAAACATATACTGAAGTTCTTCAACGTCTTTTGGATCATTCAACTTAAACACCTTTTCAACATTGTGAATATAATATAGATGACCCAATGAAATAAACATGAAAAAACATAGGTTCGACCTGCGAGGTCGCGGTATGTGTTATAATCCATTCACAAATTCTTGATAGCACGAAATGAACCTCAAAGTCATAAAACGGTCGTAAAATTTGTATCATCATAGGCGTTCCTGGGGTGTTTATTCATTAAAATTAATGCGTTTTACATTTATTTTCATTTCCAAAATGTTTATCAATATTAATAATGTTTTAGTATTAATATATTTAGCAAAAAACAATTAAAACTTTCACGGCTAATGTTGGTTATTATATTATATTAATAAAAATAAGAATTTAACCATTAACAATTTCGTAAATAAGAATACCTTATCTCTTTGGATATTTCAATACTAATCTTCGTGTTTAATAGCTTTACTAGAAAACTTGGAATTCATATCCGAAGGTACTATTCGTTGCAAGATAATTAGGATGGAATTCCCCAGATTTTTAATAATGTAATGGTTATAAAGATGCCGGCTTTGGCCACGTGCCTCGTCTGTTCAGTTTATATTCGAAACTTAACTTGAAAAGGTGAAGTTATTACGAAACAAAAACAATTTTTTTGTTTAGTACTTTTTTGATCGCATGTAATTTACGGCTCGTCGGTGTTTCCGCTGTCTAAGGCAGTAATTAGCGTCTCGAATATTTCTTTTGCGAATTATATGCAGTGCGTGAGTGATTTTTTATTCCATATACCTACGAACATATACGTACCTTTCGCTCGTGCTCGTTTTGTTGGATTATTTGTTATGGCTTCATCATCAACATCATCAAGTTTTACACCGGTATTGTTGCGTACAGTCAGTAAGTCTGTCTATTCACCCAGAGAAAAGACTATTGTACTAAATGTTCATGATGCTCTAGGTTTTTCAGAATCCCACAAACACTGTTCGCAACATAGTCGAAAGTTGTGCCAACATGACTGGGTAGGGGAGTCAACTATATATAGGTTCCTATCAGAAAGAAAAAAACACGGTATAGCTAACCCAAACACAAACGAACACTTAAAGAGAGGGACAAGAGCCTATTGAAATTGATGAATTTGCCAAAAATGGCATTCGAAGAAACATTCATGGATTTTGGAATTATATCTGTGTTTTTTAATTTGTTGATTTCCATAGATTCTAACAAAGATAGCTTAAGGCCTTTATTTTGAATGTGAAGAATTTTAAATTTGTCATTAAAAGAATGATTATGATCTAGAAGGTGAAGTGCGTATGTCGAATCTGTTTTTCTTATTCTTGAAAGCCTTTTATGTTCTGCTATTCGTTTATCAAAGTTTCTACCAGTTTGACATGATGTAAGTTTTTTTCGTCGCCCTATCGACGAATGCAAGTTTCGACGATGTAAGTCGATGTAAGCGACTGCCCAAAACTTACATCGGTCAAGCTGGGTAGAAACTTTGATAAACAAATAGCAGAACATAAAAGGGCTTTCAAGAAATAGAAAAACAGATTCGACATACGCACTTCACCTTCTAGATCATAATCATTCTTTTAATGACAAATTTAAAATTCTTCACATTCAAAATAAAGGCCTTAAGCTATCTTTGTTAGAATCTATGGAAATCAACAAATTAAAAAACACAGATATAATTCTGAATGACACAACTTGAGACATAACAGTTCTCCCCTCCTCAACCTATTTCATTAGAGACTATAAATTTGTAAACCAAGCCAAAATAGATCACTTGAGAAAGGCAATCAGCCGAATACAGCTGTAGTGGATAAGATTTACAATAAATTTTTGTGAAGTTTGAAAACAAAAGTTTTCAGTGTTTTATTGTTACATATAATAAAGAAGTTTTAATAAAAACAAAAATACAATTTACATAGGTAAAATTTAAAAAATTATATTTATTTAGTTCAAATAAATGTTTCAATCATATACTCTACGACACTGGTCGGTCATATTTAACCAAAATACCCTCGTAATCGGATTATAAGGTTGACTGTTGTATTGTATTCCTTCAGATACAAGGTGGGTTAATCGAAAACATCATAAACCGTCAGTTTCAGGTTGGTTTTTACTATTATATCGTATTACCTATCCTCTCTGTATTTCAGTTCTCTAATTAGGGTTAAACTTGTAGTGAGCTATCGACAAATTATGAATCGATTATAGATACAACTGTTGTTCGGTTATGACAAACGTTCACTTCTTAACCGCTAGAAATTACCTGAAAGCCGACGTTGTATGTTTCCCAACTTAATAGACATAAATGCGGAGCTAGACAGTGGCGTAGAATTATATGCATTTTCCATGTATTACTTTCAAAATATTTATAAAAATGTTTTCAATGCATCTCTCAGATCAACCACGACTTCCGAAGGGTTAACCAGCTTTCTAATTATTTACCCATCAAAACGTTGAAATAGAAATCTGCATATTCTCCTTGTATCATTTATTCTGCTATCTTCTTTCTTCTTCTTAGCTGTCTGTTGTCAAAAAAGGTAGGAAAGAGTTTTAAATTGTCAAAAACATACTTTATTACAATAAATAATATATATATAATATATATGTTATATGAGTATATAGATATACAAACTCCTATAAACTAATAAATACTTTTTACATAATTATTTTTAATAGATTCCTTGGTTACAGTATTGTTATGTTTACTATAAATGATAATATTATCCAATCATTACCTTTCATTTTATGTATTTTACTGTAATGGTTTAATTCTTTTTATTTACTTTTCTCTTATCCTCATGTTTTGCTTTGTCTTTCGAAGCAACTTTCTTTTTGGAACTAATAGTTGTAGTTTCCGTCTTTTCTGTTCTCACTGTCGTCGTAAAATTTGATTCAACTGTCGAAGACAACAACTTCTGTCTTTCCAAACTATTCTGTCCCAATTCTTTTAATTCTTCTGCAGCTTCCTGACCTGTTACTACGACGACATGTCCGGTGTCTAATTGATCTCCAACTGTATCGCCCATGGATTCAAAGGCACTGTCAGAAATGTTTAGTGTATCATGGGAATGTTTCAATGGTACCTTCAGAAGTTTTATCTCCGTTTGAGGAATTCGGTCTTTTATAATTTCGCCGACACTGAAAGTTATTTTGGGGCCTTTTGTAGTTTCGTTAGTGTTTTCACACTTGTCTTTGTCGTTTAGGTTTATGGCATCTACTAAGTTATCTAGGTCCTAAAATTATAAATAAATTTAAAATAAATGAATAATAAATAAATTATAAATAATGATGACTGGAAGAGACCTATGTCCAGCAGTGGTCGAACACAGGCTGAAGAAGAAGAAGAAGACAAAATGCTAGAAAAAAAACAGAGAATCTTATAAATTATAAATCTCCCATGCGGATTAGGAATGTTGTGGAAACGTAATGAGTATAAATTTGAAAACTTGACTATGAATGTAATTTTTCCGTGAAAAGTTTACAAGATGTTACGTGTGGTCTGTTCTTTTGTATGGATGTGAAACTTGGACTTTAAACGCCGATATCATGAATAAAATCGAGGCGTTTCAGAAGTGGTTGTATCGAAGGATACTAAAAATGCCATGGACTAGCAGAACCAGAAACGAAGAAGTTCTTCGAAGAATTGGACATCAACGAACTCTATTAAATATTATTAAGAGGCGTAAACTAGAATATCTTGGACATATAATCAGAGGACCAAGATATGAGTTCCTACGGCTAATTCTCAACGGTAAAATCGAAGGAAAGAAATGGATAGGACGGAAGAAACTCTCTTGGTTGAGGAATTTGCGGCAGTGGACAGGTATGACAGCGGACCAATTGCTACACGTAGCGCAAGACCGAGATCAGTATAACAATATTATAAGCATGGTAGTCGCTGACGTTCCGTAGGGATATGGTACTCTAAGAAGAAGATGAATGTAATGGTAGCAACAGCAGTATGGATTCCTATTTTCTCTAGATCATGCTCTTGATCAACAAGAAAATAATTTAATTGACGCCATAAAAAGGAAAAAAGAGGACAATTTGATTGTAAGTAGAGCCTTTTCTTTCCACATCATGTAGATCGTATTTTTAAAAATTTATGACTCATATTTTTTGATTGAGGTGCTATTGGAAACATAAAGAAACTATAAATAAAAAAATACTACACAGAAAACCATTTAGTGATATAAAAAATTTATACTTTACCAGATCTCTCCTGCTATTCCTTCTTTTTATTCTATTGACTTGCACCCAAACATCTCTCAACATCTCCTCCGGAGCCCATTCAACTTGCCTGGCCTTACATTTTACAGGAGAGTCACACAACTCGCTAGTAGCGGGTCTGATACCTTCGCAATTGGAATCTTCGACTAAGATATCTTCTGCACCTTGTTTGGAACTTTCTCTGGCACACTGTATTTCTCTAGTTCGCAGTCCACTGATGTTTTTGCACGCTTTGCACTGGCTCCATTTGCCAACTTTCCACCTAGAGAATGTTGTTTAGAAAATGTGTTTATACAGTAATACATTTTCGAATTACATTTTTTGTTATATATATTTTTTAGTATTTTAAACATAATTTAATGTACCCACCGTGTAGGTCTCACGCTTTAGCCTTGTTATACGAAAACTACCAAAATATACAGACCTATTATATACTCACTTTGTCTTACACGGTTGTTCGTTGCATTTCTTAGTCATAGCTTCGGGTTTCTGTTCTCCGGCGCAAAAATTCGTACTCACTTTCCCGGCTTTTTCTTCGATGCAGTCGAATTTGGAGAGCTGAATTCCGCCGCCGCATTTTGCATCGCATTCTGTCCATTCCAGCAATTCCCAGTGGTAATGGGGGGAATAGTTCAGGTCAGACGATGGTTCGGCATACTTGTAGCGGTATCCGACGTTTTCCGGTTTGTAAAAGCAGACCTTTGAAATGGAAAGAACGAATCAATAAAAGAGTCATTAAAGCAATTAACGAGCATTATTGACAACCAAATAATCTCAATGTATAAAAGTGCAATATTATTGATTTTACATAATTCACTGCCTTAAATTTATAAAAACTTTTACAAACCAATTCCAGGATAATATATACAAAAAAATTTTTATTAAAATTTAAGTCTCTCGATAGCATTGGCTACTAATAATATAATCACATTATGACTAGTGAAATACACTTAATTTCAAAACTGTTTAATTTTTCTAAATGAACACCAAACAAGAATCCGGAAGAGAAGTAATATAAGCACTACTGGAAGAATCAACTTTAGCTTTTAACATGAAAAATTATTTCTTAAATAAATTATTAATAATATGTTACACATTAGCATTTGGATAACTTAATTCGCAAACCAGCCAAGTCCACATTTCATCAAAAAGAGTTTTTGAACGCAGTTGGTTTACGATTACAATTCCGCGTGATTTGCAAAAACAACAAGAAGAAGAAACTAACGGCTCCTGCACCTAAACCTAAAATTCCAACCGCCTATCATGAATTAATGAAAAAAACTAGTTGATTACAGTGAATCTGATTTTAAATCTGATGAACCTGTTATCTAAGGTAAGAAAACGGTACCAAGTAAAGAAAGACCAATGGGTAGTCAAAGAAATAAAAAGAATAGGGAAATGGGTAAAGAATGCTTAGAAAAAACACAAAATTGGTGTAAGTGGAGAAAAGATATAAGGAAAACAAAAAAAAAAATTATGAAGCCTCGATGTAATATTAAAGGAGAAAGAAATACTGTTCTTTAGTGTAATATTATATCTGAAAATAATCATCTGTGCGTTCTAGACTTTTACTTGAAAAAAAAACGACTTTACATCGATAATTTAATAAAAGTTATTTATATAAATAGACAAAAACGTAGAAAAGATCCAGAAAAATCTAAGAGTCTAAATACTTTTATTTACCATCTAAAAAAAGTCTAAGGATGTAATCCAATTTTTGGAAAACTTTATTCCCTAATACTTTTACCATCAAATGAAATCGTAGGCTTCCACGGCCAGAGTCAGAATTATAGTTTATTCGTCTTCCGGGTTTGGACCGTGTCATTTGTGAGTGACCCAAAAGTGGGTTCATCTCGACGTTTTGCTACAATTGTATGTAGCTTCTTCAGGAGAATAAAGAAAAGAAAAATAAGACAGGAAGATGGGTAGTTAGCAACGGTAACTGAGTTTACTCAACGCAACCAGAGGGAATACTAACTACCAAGATGGGCATTTGGTCACAGTAACTCAACTACTCAACGCAGCCAGAGGTGAAAACCAAATGCCAGGACAGGGATTCACGTCCAAGAGCTCAGAACACTAACGCGTCGAGAGGCGGGGAGTGAATCCGATCCTACGATTACTCCGCTACCGCTCTATTTATAGTCGCGGTGACCTGTCGTGTCGGGACGTATCGGCACACTCCGTGGCGCGAACGTCAAGAAGCGCGCGCTGGCCAATCATGTGGCTGCATCGTGGTAGCGGGACCGCTACCTGTGGGGTTCTGTGGGGTTGCAGAATACTGCCAGGAAACCGGTCATTCCAAATTGTTCGAAAAAACCCATATTATTTCTAAGGCCCCTCTTTTATTCCAGGAAAATCCGCGAAATATCTAGAGATCCGAAAAAATCCAAATCTCTAGAGATCCGAAAAAATCGGGACGTATCGGCACACTCCGTGGCGCGAACGTCAAGAAGCGCGCGCTGGCCAATCATGTGGCTGCATCGTGGTAGCGGGACCGCTACCTGTGGGGCTCTGTGGGGTTGCAGAACACTGCCAAGAAACGGTCATTCCATATTGTTCGAAAAAACCCATATTATTTCTAAGAGCCCCTTCTTTTATTCCAGGAAAATCCGCGAATCTCTAGAGATCCGAAAAAATCCACATAATATCAATCGACAGGAATGATACTACTTGTCTCCCATCTGGAATCTCAGCCAGAGCCGCCGTCCGGTCCCGCTACCACGATGCAGCCACATGATTGGCCAGCGCGCGCTTCTTGACGTTCGCGCCACGGAGTGTGCCGATACGTCCCGACACGACAGGTCACCGCGACTATAAATAGAGCGGTAGCGGAGTAATCGTCGGATTCACTCCCCGCCTCTCGACGCGTTAGTGTTCTGAGCTGTTGGACGTGAATCCCTGTCCTGGCATTTGGTTTTCACCTCTGGCTGCGTTGAGTAGTTGAGTTACTGTGACCAAATGCCCATCTTGGTAGTTAGTATTCGCCTCTGGTTGCGTTGAGTAACTGAGTTACCGTTGCTAACTACCCATCTTCCTGTCTTCTTTTTCTTTTTCTTTGTTCTCCTGAAGAAGCTACATACAATTGTAGCGAAACGTCGAGATGAACCCACTTTTAGGTCACTCACAAATGACACGGTCCAAACCCGGAAGACGAATAAGCTATAACTTTTACCATCCGTAAATAATGTATTTAGGGTTGGAAAGTTGAACAGGAAAGAATAACAGTGAAAAAATAAAAAGAAATATTACAAGAAATCCATTTGAAATTGACGAAACTTTGCAGGACTTTTTAGATGTCTTTGTAGATGTAAGTTCAGCATATTCCTTACCTAATTTGATCAAAAAATAATCACACATAACCAGAGAATCGTCCTTGCTATCCATTTTGGCACATTTAAGGAAACACATTCCCAGAAGTGAGATAAATTGAAACTCTTCCACTTTTTTGTAGATCTTTCGATCTGTTTAATTCTGAAGCTGCCTCTGGTTAATTTCTTGGGAGGTAGATTGCCAACTATCCCTCCATCTTTTAGGTGTTCTTCCGAGGGGTCTTGAACCGGGCGGATTGTTTTCTAGGGCAATTTTTGGGAGTCTATTCTCATCCATTCGTCTTACATGGTTGTACCACATCCTCTTGCGCTGCCTTCCCCATCTTACAATATCTTGAATTTTGCACTGCTCTCTAATGTTTGTATTTCTCACTCTGTCTCTTCTTGTTTTCCCCATTATTGTTCTTGGGGTTTTCATTTCGGCAACCCTTAGCATCTGTTTCGTTTTGTTGGTATCTTCGCGCACTTCTATGCATATGTCATGATCGGTCGTATGCAAGTCTTATAGATTCTAATTTTACTATCTGTGCGCATATACGGATTTGGACCAGACTATCTCCCGCAAACATCCTGACAGTGCAGATGCTTTGTTGATTTGACTCCTCAGGTCCGTTACTGGGTCGTGGGTGCTTGATATATCTATGCCCAGATATCTGATTGCATCACCTGTTCTATGGGGTTGTCCTCAACCACTAACTTACATCTGAGCGGATCTTTTGCTATTGTCATACATTTAGTTTTGTTGGTAGAGATGTTCATATTTAGTAGTCGGCTTGTTTGAAAGAACTGAAAGAGCTGCCTTGAAATTGAAACTCACCAATAAAAATTGAACCATACTTTTATTTAACTATTAAAACTGTTAAAGTGCAGTAGATAGCAATTTTCTTTAGCTTTAAATCAACATGAAACACAAAAGTTAAAACCACACAACAATCTGATAATCTTGATAAGCAGAAAAATTTTCCATAATAAAGATTTGGTCGCTTTAAAAGATAAGAGAACAATAAAAATTACTCCTTGTAAATCGCTCCTTACTGAATAAATGTATACACTAAAAAGTCCTAAAGGCATATTTACTCTTATATACGACTATATGCTCCGATAATGTTGTGAGAGTACACCTCGGCTTCCACATATTAGTTTGCGTTCGCCTAATCACCGGAACGTAAACATAACAGTTCTGATGTGATTCTGTGGTAACCGCTGCGGCTCTCCTGATTAACAAACTAATTAATTTGTCTTATCTTTCGTTTTAGAGAGTGTCAAGGATGTGGCGTGGCGTCTTTGTGGTGTATTAAGCTGGAGATTTATCTCTTTAAGATCCAAGAGAAGCTGTGAAATAAAGGAAAAAATTGGGTTAACGTGTTTTAAAATAGGGTACAGGAAGAAATAAAAAAAAATATGTCAAATAATTCCGTAAAGTCATTTTATTTAAACATGAGATTTCTTACGTCAAGAAAATTTTTAAATGAATTTTCTTTACAAGGAAATTGTATTTTTCGGCAACAAATGGCAATGATTTTAACTAACATAATAGTAAAAAGTTTTAAATGATTTACATACTGTTTAAGTTGGCATAGTCAAGATAAATATGCTTGCAAGAGGATACTGCTGGTGGTTAGTAATTTCTAAAGATATAGAAGATATATGCAAAAATTGTACAGAGTGCAAAAAAATTAGAAATAATCCGGAAAAAAACAACAGTACATCCATGGGAGACACCTAGAGCCCCTTTTGAAAGAGTTCACGTAGATTTTGCAGGACCTTTCGTATAAAATCATACTATTTTATTCTAGTGGATGCCTATACTAGATATACTAGATATTATGTAGATACATATGATTAAAAAGATTTGACAAGCAAAACTACCATAAAGTTACTAAGAAATTTTTTTTCTACATTAGAATTCCAAATTGTTTAGTTTCAGATAATGCTCAAACGTTTACTAGTTACGAATTTGAACAATTTATAATTAAAATGGAATATTTTTCACAAATTCAGTACACCAAATCATCCAGCTACAAATAGAATGGCAAAGAGGTATGTACAAAGATTCATACAACTGGTGTCAGTCCTTCAAATTTGATGTTTGGAAGAGAGATCCGAGCACGGTTAGATTTATTGCAACAGTTTTACAAAACACCTGTATAAAATGAAAACCATCTTAAGGTAAGAAACTTAGACGTGGAAGAGAGAGTAGACACTCGTGATGTTAAATGGGAATTTGGTAAGGTCAAACATAAACTAAGGAAAACACACTACCTTATACAGTTAGACGATACAAGAATATGGAAGAGACTTGTCGGATAAGGTTTTCTGTAGTATAAAAATCGGAATAATTGTTACATGGAAAGTCTTTTAAGACATTTTCGATATAGGCTAAGCAGTGTCCTCTAATACTGGATGAGTGCAATTTTTTAATCATGTTAAATCTAAAACACGTATTAAAGGCTTTCTTTAGATCATATAAAATATCTATGCAGATTTGATTCATTTCTAACGCTTCTTGGACATTATTTTGTAATTCTACGATATTGTATTATTGTATTTGTTGTACTGTACTTTTAATTGATGTACCTAAAACAAATAAAGAATGATGCTATTTACCAGAGAATCTCGACAATAAATCTTAAATTGTTGCTCACTTTCCCATTTTTGTGATTTGACATTACAGCTTTATTCAGTTTATTAACTTTTAAAAACGTTCATTATATAAACTCTTTATGATATACATTTTATTGTTTTTCCAATTAGCCTAAACCAATTGGGTAAATTACTTTTATTTGATGTCAAACGTTTTTGTGGCGTATATCACAATATTATATTAATTTCCAATTTGATTATTAATAACAGTAAAACGATAAATATTTTAATGTTTTTTAGATTAATGTTTACATTTGCATTGCAATAAATACCCTAGATATTTGCTTTATATTTATATAAACATCGGACAATTATATAATAATAGAATTTGTTTTTTGCGAGGGCGCAACGAATAAATGTTTTGTTTGGTTATTTGGAGTTTGTTGCAATACAAGCGAATACGATGTGATAGTTTGAATTTTAAAATTGGTGAAATATTTTTCATGTCACTCCGTAAGTAGTGAAGTGAGTAACGTCTAATGACATCTGTCAACGTCCAACTGTCATGTCATAGAACTACTAAAATGTCAAGTATATGACAACTCGCCTTCTCGTAAAGAAAAGCTAAACTTGTGAGGTTAATAAATTAAAAACAAAAACATTTAGTTAAAGTATTATTTGAATCATCTACATCTGCATCTTGAACTAAACTACAATTTACTACTTTTAGAATAACTGCTACAGAAGTAATTGATCTCGTTTTAAGTGAAATGAAAACAAAATTAGCAAATCAATTGTAAATATTTCGCTTAAAATATCAGTTATTGTAGACGAATCAACAGCTGTAGGCTCAACATCTAATCTAATAGTGTGTTTAAAATGTGAGTTCAGCAAAGAGTTGAATTTTTATTTTTTGTTTTTAGATAGAGTAGTCAAAAATCCAGGTAATTGTTGAATGTTTGCTAAACTGAACGTTTGAAAATGGAGCGGATTTGATTATAATCACTTAAAAGATAATTTTGTTTCATTTGCAAGTGACGGTACCAACGTCTTGTTGGGTAAAAAATCAGGTGTAGCTTAAAGATTGCTCGAGATGTACCCAGATACTATTATTTGGCATTGCATGAATCATAGCCTAGAGCTAGTCTTAACTCATGCAGTTGATGAAGTTGGGGCCGTTAACCATTTTCAAATATTCATGGATAAAATATACTCCATTTACAGAATAACTGAAAGACCAGCATGAACTCTCCTGAGTGTGCCTTAAAGCTGGAACAACAACTCCAAAAAATTGGAAAATTTTGGGGAATTGATGAGTGGCAAGTTCTTATCGCGCAGTTTCGGCTGTGTAGTATGCTTATTCTGCCATTTACAACCACTTTGAAAAGGCAAAGATAGACAAGAAGTTCTCCTAAAAGATCTATATACTCTGGCCTATCAAGAAAATTTTCATCATTACAGTTGCTGTTAAATTTAGCCATTATGTATGACATTTTTGAGGAAACTTTCGATGCTTTCAGAGCCGATTCAAACAGAGATACTACTGTTGTTTATGCTGATAAATTGATTGAGAAGGAGCATTGGATTTTTTAAAACTGAAAGAAATGCCTGGAACCAAAAACCTTAAGGCTTACATTGCTAAGAAGGGCGATAATTTTAACAATGTCCCCATCACAAATAATCCAAAAATTGCGATCAATAATCAAAAACAACTGATAACAAGTGTAATAAATAACTTAACTAGAAGAATGTGTAATACTTAATCCAGCAATAAGTCAACATCAAGCGCTTCTTCAAACTGTAAGCAACAATATGGTTCTCTTCTATCTGATTTAAAAGTACTGGAAACTGATCAGTACCCAACTGACAAATCAGTACGATATGGGAAAGGAGAAATTCAAAATATCTGCAAAATGTTTAAGCTTCTAAGCCAAAATAACAAACTGCTTTCGAGATTATATCAAGGCCAATTCACCTTTAAAGTACCAAAAGATCTCATTCCGTTGTTGAACTGCACCAAACTAATTTCATGTAGTTCATCAGAACGTGAACGAGGTTTTAGTCTCACGAACCAGATAATGACTGATTTGCAAATTAGACTTGTAACCAGACATGTTCCAAGCCTTATGATTATTGGGACCGTGCAAGTTTGGAAGAGCGACACCTGGTGTCGTAAATCAGCAAAATTTACTGCGCTTTCATGTTAGATCGAGGTTACCGGATAACTGTCAAGGACGTAGCCCCAAAAAAGAATAAGAAGATAAAGTAAGATTGAGGTTATGTCGGTATGTTATTAAAAGTTTACAAGGTAAACGTTCTGTGTAGTGTAAATACAATTAACTACATTATTAAATTACAGTATTACTGTTAATATGGATGCAATAATAAAAACTGGATTTGAGAAAGTAATTCACCAAATAACTTTTAAATCAAGCACTGAGTCAAAGGGAAAAGCTTTAGTAGTGGCAAATTATGTTAAGAATGTGGAAGAATTAACAAAAAAGGACAAAGCTATGTAATACATAGCTGAACTTAAAGTTACATTAGCATTAAACTTGATTTTTGGGTTAAAGTGAACTGAAGTGAGTGTTATGAAAATTTTCACTTAAAAGTGAACTTTTATTTATTATTTATTTCAAACTGACTTTAAAATCGGGCGCAAGAATAATGCATAATTTAGGTTATGTTACTTATGCTTTTTATGATATAAATCCACTTGTTTCTTTGTAGTAATTTGTGCTTGAAGTTGGAAACGATTAAAACTTAAATTGACAATTTTTTGTTGTATTTTTACAATTTATAACACAGCATTTACTAAATCCCATTTTCTTCATTGACAGAAGGTGTAAATAAACAAACGAATATAAAATATGACAATTTGACAATTGACAATATGAATTTATGAAATCTATGAAATGTGCAGTAAAAAATGCAAGATTTCTCCGCTACTCGCGCACGATCGTTTCTCGTATCACATCCAAGTACTTGCACGTCGCCAATAAAACAACATGGACTAAGTATAAACGAGTGGAATGTGGAACCATATGTAAACACCTGGTTGAGGAGACACCTCACAGCAGACGGCACTAGGACACGCACAGTAAAACCTTCTCCGGAAGAAAAAAATCCATTTGTTCAGTTTTTGTAAATTGATTAACTTTTTTAAACTCAATTTCTTGAAGTTGAAGAAAGTTAATATGTTCAGACATTGTAATTTTGATTGAATGGCAGACGTAGTCATATACATTTTAAAATATGCAGAGGTAACTTGTATTAAAAAAACATACAGTAATGTTTTACTTATAAAAAAGTTAGGGAAAGTGCGTTCCGGCACTGCTAATTTTGCCATGACATCACTGTACAGGGGCGATTTCAGGAAGCGCTGTCAAGAACGCAAAATAACTTGTAAATTTTACAATTAAACAAAATACCCACATGAAATATTAAATCTTCCGTGGTGGGTCCATGTATGGTTAAGGATTCTCTCCCTGGTTCTGGATGATTGTATATACCTTCCGTTTTTCCAAAGTTCTTCGTTCCGTCTTGCTCTTCACGACTATAAACAAATGTACATTAATATACGATAGGAGTAAAAATCTCAAGGTAGGATAGATAGGGTAAAGGAAGGAGAGATAGTTGGTCCGATGGTATACCTGACCAAGCTTGGCAATAGAGCAAGTCTATCCTACTCTGTTGTAACGTTTAAGATTAGTTGCTGAAGAGACACCAGTTGTAACGCATCGGTGTATACTTGCAGGAGTGTTATTTACGATAATTAAAACTGCCACGTGTGACAATTTTATATAATTACATAAAAAACTTTTATCAACCATCAACTTCGAGTTTTTTATCGAAGTTAATTTATTTTCTTCAGTTAAAAAAAAACGTTTCTTGGCTTACTTCAGATGACAATTAAAATGCTCTAGGAAACGAATGTACTTGGGCAAGATTTAATTAATAAACTGCGTTAGATTAAAGAGATATGAACCAAAAAATAGGACGATTTTTTGAGTAAAAATAAAAGCAAATATATGGCAACAATGTTGTGGAAATTGAGGGACAATCAGCAATAGTATATATACAATAGCACTAAAGGCCTTAGAGGCCCATAGCTTAAAGAAATTTATTCTTTCTTCATTTTCGCTTTCCTTTATGTACTGAGATCTTCTCTGGCTCGATATGTGACTTTTCTCCATTCCTTCTTGTTATTCATTTTTCTCTTCTGGCCGTCTAGTCTAATTTCTTCCATATCTTTTTCTACCTCCTGATTCCATCTATTTTTTGGCTTTCTTTTCTCTTTTTTGAAGTTATAGTGTAGTTTAGTACCCTTTTTGGAGTCCTCGTGTTCGGCATCCTTTCTAGGTGACCTCGCCATCTTAGTCTCTGTGCCTTTATGACTCCTATTATGTTAGGTTGATTATGTAATTTCTTCAACTCATCATTTGATCTTCTTATTCATAGCCCTTATCATTCCTCCATATATCTTCCTCAGATCTTCCTTTCCCATATCTCCAGTAAATTTTGTTCATTTTTTGTCATTGTCCACGTCTCACTGCAGTATGTTGCTATTGGTTGTATAGTTGTTTTGTATAACTGTATTGTTGCCTTTCTTGATAAAAACTTGCTTTTCAACATTCCACTAAGAGCATGTACACTTCTATTGCCTGCCATTATTCTAGCTTGTATTTCTTCTTTAATGTTAGATTTACGTGATATTATTGTACTTAGGTATGAAAATCTTTCTACCATCTCGAATTCGTATGATGATCTTTCTTCTACTTCTACTTTAAACTTTTGTCCATCCCTAAACTGATCATCTGTCCACTGCATACATTTTGTTTTAGTTTCATTTATGTAAAGTCCCATTTTCTTTGCTGCTTTTACTATTCTCTGTAATATCTCCTGTAGCTCTTTTTTCCTCTTGTCAGCAAACACTATATCATCCGCAAATGCCAAAACTTGGTGTCTTTTATGATATAAGGGTCCTTCTCTATTGATTCTCGCGTCTCGCATTATTTTTTTTAGGCATAAATTGAAGAGTAATGATGACAAAGGATCGCCTTACCTTAATCCTTCGTTTACTATAAATGTGTCCTATGTATGATTATTTACTTTGACTCTATTTTCTGTATTCTCTAAAGTAAGATGTATCATGTTACGCAACTTTCTGCTAACTCCCAGTTCCTCAAGGGTCTCTTTTAATTCCTTCCTTTTTATTCTATCGTATGCTTGCTGGAAGTCGATGAATAGCGCTATCGTTGGTAAGTTGTGTTCATCAATAATATCCACTGCTAAAAGATGAAGATTGATAAATGAAATAAATAAAAGACCGAGATAAATAATACGTTTTATCTAAAACGTTAACGTCTATTAATCTAACCGATCGTTATTGAAAAAACATTGACCTGGTAAGTGTAAGATGCACTTACTGCTCTCCGTTCAGATAAAATATCTTCTCCGATTTATCGGTAACAGCGATAGTGTTTACTGACGGCGCCAATTCTTCGATCCTCACATTCCTGCTACCTTGGGGAATCGTCGCCACTTTCTTGTAATCTGAAACAGAAATCATGCTGAGGCGTGTCATCGGCAGGGAGAAAAGAATCTCGAAATCACAGGAAAACGCTCGACTGACCGTGGATGGGGAGAGCGAAAGAAGCGGGAAAAAGTGCGACCTAATTGGGGCATTGGCGTCCATTTGAGGCATCGGAAGTCATTTCGTCGAGAAATTGCTGTTATTTATTATCTTCCGAGGCCTATATATACTCCTAATTTCAAAGGTCGAAAATTGTGAGGCGACATAAAAAGATGTTTTCGACAACTTTACTTATATTTCCTAATTTTTTTGAATTCCAGACTTCTTAGAGCATAATTTGAGATTTTTCACTTGTATTCAAATACATAAAAAAGATATAAGGATATTTAAAATAAAACGCCAGGCCAAACATTAAATTAGCTAATTCAATATTACATATTGTTTTCATACAGGGTGTTTTGTTTAAAATATCAGAGTTGCTGTTTAGTTTCGGTATAACTGGAAGTCGCATGTATGTCAAAATATTTTATTTAAGTTCGTCTTTATCTGTAATTCCCAGAAACCAATTTTCATAAATGTTGTGTAAGTAGTTTCTGTGCAATAGAAGAATTTTACGAAAATTTAACTTTAAATGAATAAACAATATTGTGACCAAACAGCCAATTTAATTTAAGTCAAAGAATTCGCATAAAAACTCCCGTATATCAATTAGAAGTTAAAAATAAATAATTAAACCATCTTATCTCTTTTCACGAGATAAACTCATCTCTTCTCAACCTGAAGGATTCTAGTCCTGGACCTGATGATATTCCCTCAGCATTTCTGAAACATTTTCCTGTTTCAGCCATAACGTATCTCCTAAACTTATTTAACAAAATTTGGTTCTACCACCAATGGACAGCTATTTGGTCAAAGGCAATAGTCATGTCTCTCCTAAAAACTGACAAACCTAAATATGACCCAGAATCATATTGAACCATGGCTCTGACATCGACAGCGTGCAAATTACTAGAAAATATTGTTAACTCCAGACTCTTATAGGTTTTGGAAAATTCCAGTCTCTTAATCTCCGAGCAAAATGGCTTTAGAAATGATCGGTCAACCCCAGACAACATTTTAGACTTGGAAAGTGAGATTCATGAAGCTCTTGCTACAAACCAAAAATGCGTTGCTATATTTTTTGTTTTAGAACGTGCATTTAAGAAAGCTTGGAAGTACAACATTTTGGGACAACTTCATAACTGGAATATACAAGATCACTGTCTTGTCTTCATCCAAAAGTTTTTTCAAGTGAAAATAAATAATACTTTTTCAAATATTTATCATTTGGAAAATGGTACACCCCAAGGATCCGTGCTCAGTCCAACATTATTTCTAGTGGCAATAAATGATATAATCAAAAATATTCAAGCACCCTTACAAGCCCGTTTATACGCTGACGACTTAGTGTTATCAATTAAAGGTAAAAATATCTCCTTAATGTCCTTAATTCTTTAAAACTTTCTACATACTTTCGTAAATTGGTCCAACCTACAGATTTTCAATTTTAATAGAAAAATCAATAAGAGTTGTATTCTCTTCAAGCTCATTGCCACAATCTCCAACCCTGAGGATCTATTACAAACAACTTTAGTTTAGAGATCATCACAAATTCTTGGGTGTAATCTTTGATTTAAAGCTTACATAGAAAAATCGCATACAACTCATCCTCTTCTATAATAGGATTAAATGTGTTAGGATCTCTTTGTAACAAAAACTGGGGCTCAGAGCAATCCACTCTACTTCTTCTGTATAAATCTTTAATACGTTCTAAGCTAGATTATGGAGCAATTGTATATTCCACTGCTGATCAATCACTTCTTAAATCATTAGATGTTATTCATAATAAAAGTCCTAGATTAATTACAGGGGTTTTATAACTTCATTGGTACTCAGCATTTATGCTCTTTTAGGAGAACCACCGCTACATCACAGCTGCATGTTCCTCGCGCTATCACATGCAGCCTCAGTCGCAGTGTAATATTTCAAAACCAATATATTAAAATACTTCAACACATAAATATGTAGACAAATTCCAAGATATTCACTATACTAAAAAACTATATTACGAAAGAATTAAATCCATACCTCAAAATCTAAACAATAATTTTCCGGATGTTTTCTTCTCTGATATTAAATACCCTTAGCCTTGACTGATCGATTTACCGATCTATGATACATCTCTGGCCTATTTTAATAAATCAAGTACTAACAATTCCCTTATTTGGCTTAAATTCGAAGCCCTCTTAAAAAAGTACTTCGACTACTATAAAATCCATACAGATGCATCCAAGTCCGAAGACGGAGTGGGGGCATTAATTGTTTACTTAGAAAACAATCGTATTTTTCGTCTACTCCCAGTATGTACCATATATTAAGCAGAGCTTTACGCTATATACCACGTTGTGAAGCTTTTCCACGAGCTTACCTTCACAAAAGCCCTGATCATAACAGATTCCCTTAGCTCTTTAAGCTCATTAAAACATATTTTTCCGAGATATTCTTTTAAAAAGTTACTACAATACCAACTGTTCCAAACTTACCAACATGGAAGAAGAGTTCAATTTTTGTGGGTATCCTCACACGTCGGACAATTGGAAACAAAGAAGCTGATAGGACTCTGCACGACAGGCAATTTTTAGCGATTATTCGGAGCCTATAGACAAGTGTGCTTCCAGTGACTTAAAATCTTATTTTAAAAAGAAAGTGTTGTGTTTGTGGCAAAATGAGTGGTCTCAAATTAATTCTAAGCTGTATAACATCAAGAGTAGTGTTACCAATTTGAATTCCATCGTCGCTTAACAGACGTGAACAATTTGTGCTTTTGCGTCTACATCTAGGACATACCAAGTAAACACAGTCTTACCTTTTCACAAAAAATAACCCACCCAAATGCGATCAGTGTAGCGTTCGATTAACAGTTGAACACTTTTTAATAAATGGTGGTAAATATGATCAAGAAAAATATCCTTACAATATCTCGAACTCTCTAGCAGAAGCTCTATGTAGGTCAGGAGTATTCCTATGATAATATAATTAAATATTAAGATCCTTAAATATTTTCTATAATCTGTAGTTATCCAATTTTGTTATTTATATTAAAAGTCGCTAATAACGTTTTGGTGGATGCGACTTTTTTTTTAATCAAAATATGAAAAAAAAATATGACAAATTTGTCATTTTAGTATGCGAGTCTGAATCTTTCAAATAAAAATAAAAATAAACTAAATAATTAAATAAAGAAGAAGAAGAAGAAACATCACATAAAAATACTACGTGGAGTTAGACAGGGATGTATCCTATCGCCTTTGATATTTAATATGTACTCAGAGAAAATTTTTAACGAGGCTCTTTACGGAATAGACGAAGGCATCCTTCTAAATGGTGAAAGAGTAAACAATGTTAGATATGCCGACGACACCATGGTGATAGCAGATAGTTTAGAGGGACTTCAGAGGCTAATGGACAGAATAAACGAGTACAAGTCAACAGTACGGACTAAACATTAATACCCACAAAACGAAACAAATGATTATCAGCAAAGGAGAATATAAATGGGGCTCATATATACATTAATGGGACGCATGTAGAGCGAGTAAAACAGTATTGTTACCTGGGAACTATTATTAACGAACAGTGGAGCAATTTACAGGAAATAAAGTGCCGCATAGGAAAGGCAAGAACGGTCTTTAACAAAATGAGCGCCATCTTCAAAAGCATATCATATCCCTTGATACAAAAATGAGACATTTGAGATGCTATGTTTTCTCTGTGTTGTTGTACGGGGCGGAGGCATGGACGCTTACAGACGCCACTATTAAAAAAACTTGAAGCATTTGAGATGTGGCTGTATAGAAGAATGCTGAGAATATCATGGACAGCAAGGATCACGAACAAGGAAGTTCTAGGAAAAATGAAGAAGGAACCAGAGATTGTGTTTTACGATCAAACACATAAAATTGCAATATCTGGACACGTTATGAGAAATCAGCACCGTTACTCCCTGCTACAGTCTATATTGCAAGGTAAAGTCAAAGGTAAGCGAGGACCCGGTAGGAGGAGAATATCATGGCTGCGGAATTTAAGAACATGGTTTAAGAAAACCTCAACGGAGCTGTTTCGAGCCGCAGCGAGCAAGGTTATAATTGCCAATATGATTTTCAACATCCGAAACGGATAGGAACTAGAAGAAGAAGAAGAAGAAATAATTAAAAAATCCAGTTAAATATGGTGTAAAAAAACTCCGTGTAAAAGTATGGTTACGAGCTGTTTCGAGCCGCAGCGAGCAAGGTTATAATTGCCAATATGATTTTCAACATCCGAAACGGATAGGAACTAGAAGAAGAAGAAAGAAAATAATTAAAAAATCCAGTTAAATATGGTGTAAAAAACTCCGTGTAAAAGTATGGTTACGATTTTAAAGTGGTACCAACGTTACGTTAATAAAAAATGTAATACCACCTGCATCAAGTACTGTATACCCTATTTCTGTTAAGAACGCCCATGAGAAGAATCGATTAAATAAATTCTTGCATATTTGATGGCAAATACTTACCACGAGCGCCGGTGTCTTTGTAGATCTCGTCTATAATTTTGCACTGCGTTCCGTCGCCATTACAAATACCGCACACATCTTCGACCGCATCTGAATCCAGTTGATAATCACACCCAACCTTCTGAAATGAAAAAATAATTACAGTCGATATAACAGTGCCATAAATAATACACCGAACAATGCGGCGATGCTATAATGGGAAAATAATGCACGCTTGGATGATATTCCGACAAACACGCATAGAATTGTATTTACACATTTTTTGCATTAATAAGCGGTGGGTAATATCTTATTCAAGAAACGACACGACAGGTTCCTATAGTTGTGATTAAATTAAATGTTTAGTTTATATATTCAAAGAACGGTAAATTTTTATTTTCCTATATAACATTTTCATTTCGTAATATTGGAACTAAACTACATCCCCATGATAATGCGCAATCAATAATGCCCAACTTATTATTGACGGGCCAAAACATCGGACGTGTGTGTCTTTAAACTTGAAACTAATCTTCTTCTTCTTCTTAACATGCCATACACCAAAGTGCGTAGGCGACTATCTCATTACTAGAATTCTGTTCTTGGCGGCGTGACACAGCTCACCTGTATTGTGTATTCCTGTCCATTCTTTAATATTCCTTAACCAGGATAATTGTTTGCGGCCGGCTCCTCTCCTACCTTCGATCTTCCCTTGTAGGATTAACTGTGGTATTTCATATTTTGCTCCTCTCAATATGTGCCCAAGGTAACCAATCTTGCGTTTTTTAATTAATTCAAAGAGTTCTCTTTCCACGCCGGCTCTATTAAGGACGTCATCGTTTCGAACTCTATCCACCCAAGGTATGCGCATCATTCTTCTCAATGACCACATTTCAAATGCTTCAAGTTTGTTGATAGATGTTTTTTTCAAAGTCCACGTTTCCATACCATAAAGCAAGATGGACCATATGTAGCACTTGACCATTCTGTAGCGTATTTCGAAGTTTAGGTGTTGATTACATAGGAGCGGTCTGAATTTCACAAAAGCTTGTCTTGCCATTTGTATTCGGGTTTTTATCTCGTGTTGTGGATCCGATTGGTCATTGATTGTGGTGCCAAGGTATTTAAAAGTTTTCACGCGATTTATACGATTGTCACCTATGCATATTATCGGGTTTTCTGGAGGGTTTCTGCTAATGACCATATATTTCGTTTTCAAAATGTTGATTTTGAGGCCATATTTTTTACCTATGCTATTCACCCTATCAAGTAATAACTGCTGATCTTCCAAATTATCAGTTATAATCACTGTGTCGTCCGCATACCGTAGGTTGCTAATTGGTATGCCGTTCACCTTAATGCCTAATTCCGTATCTTCTAATGCTTCCGCAAATATATTTTCAACATATAAATTAAAAAGCATCGGAGAGAGTATGCAGCCTTGGCGGACACCTTTCCGGATTTTAAATTCATCCGTATATTGGTCTCGATCAATCCTTCACCTTTGCCATTTGTTCCAGTATAGATTCTGAATAATTCTGATCTCCTTCTGGTCAATGTTGGCCCTATGTAGTAGTTTCATCATGATATCATGTTTAACATTGTCAAATGCCTTCTCGTAGTCGATGAAGGTGAGGTAGACATCTTTTCGTTGATCTAAGCAGTTTTGTATTAAGGTGTTTCAAACATAAAATTGCCTCTCTTGTTCCTAGTCCTCCCTTAAAACCGAATTGTGTTGACCGCTAAGTTCTTCTAGTATCTTGTACATTCTTGAGTGTAATATCCTAAGGAAGAGTTTCAACAAGTGACTCATTAAACTGATTAAGCGGTGTTCATTGCATTTTGTGGCATTAGCTGTTTTTGGGATCATCACAAAGGATGACTGCAGCCATTCTCGCGGAATGTAACCAGTATCATAAATTCTATTGAACAGCCTTACCAAGATTTCGATATTCTCCTCGTCTAGTAGTTTTATTGCTTCTATATTAATTTCATCTGGACCTGTGCTTTATATATCTTTGTGGTTCTAACTGCATATTCTATTTCACTTCGCATTATTGATGGCCCTGATAAGTTTTCGGAGGAAGTTTGCGCGTTGGTTGTGTTGGTCTTTCGTCATTAAAAAGGCTTTCCTGCGTATTCTTTCCACGCCATTGCTATCTCCTCTTCTGACTCTATGTATTCGTTTCTGTCGTTGCGTATTCTTGTTCTGTGGTGGCTTTTGTGTATATTCGATATTTCTTTGATCTTCTTATGTAGTCAAAACTATCTCCTTTTTCCTGCATTGTTCTATTTCGTTGCACCTTTCCACCATCCAACGTTCTTTTGCTTTCTTAATTTTCTGACGGATTTCTTTGTGTATCTGTTGTATTTGTCTTGATTACGTTGTTGTTTATGTTGCCTTCGCTTTTCCATTAGATCCATAATTTCGTCCGTCATCCATTCGTTATGCTTTCTCTTTCTGATCTGTGTTTTAACTTCCCTGTTTACTGCCAGAATCGTTCCTTTAATATCATTGACCATCTCTTCGATATCATCATTTTGTTCTATTACTCGCATTCTTTCATTAATTTGATTCGCATAACTCTTCTTCAGATTTTCGTCTCTCATCAGTTCTCTTGTATTTATAGGTGTGCTGGTATTTGTATTGTTCTCTTAATTTTTGCTAGTTTTAAACCTCACATCTGCTATTATCGGATTATGGAATCGGATGCAATATCAGCACCTGGATATGCTGCGTATTCTTTTGATAGCGTTTACGAAATCTTCTGTTTATTAAAACGTAGTCAATTTGGTTTCTAATTATTCGATTTGGACGTCTCTGGTGATCTCCAAGTATATAAACTTACGAGGTGGGAGCTGAAACCATGTGTTCATGACGACAAAACCGTTCTCCTGGCAGAATTCACACAGCAGGTCGCCATCTTTCATTTCTAACTCCAAGGCCGTACTCTCCAATTATGTCTTCATATCTTCCTTTACCCACCTTGCGTTAAAGTCGCCCATTATTATGTTTATGTCCTCTTTCTTTGTTAGTCTTATTGCTTTTTCCAGATCTTTATAATACTATAATTGAAACTAATAAATGAGAATAATGATTCATGCGCATAAAAATGCGCATGCTTATGCGCTGACCAAGAGCTCTTGTTAATGACAACAGTCATCGATTCGATTTTGATACTCGGATCAGACCATCCTCTGAAAGTATTCGAAGATTCTGGATAACTTCTGACCGCCGGTCTGAAGAAGAAGCGAAGATTTTTCGACTCTATGATCTTGCTTGTGAAGTTTATGCAATCTAGGCTATGAGTGGAGGCTGATGAAGCGGAGGCCCTGTGGTCAGCAAGGTGTCACCAAAAATACAGAATAGTTTAAACGTTCGAGTTTTCTTACGTAAATGGGATATAATTTGCCTTACATGAATAATTTGTTTAGTATTCTGAGCAAGGTTGATGCCTTGCATGTCACTGAGATGTCGGCCCTCTCGCAAAATAATCTTAAGTTCCGTAGGGACTTTTATTGAATCTGTGATTATTAAAAGGAACTAACTCCAAAAATGTACAATTTTGACTTTTACACGTGAAGCGGTATTTTTCGGTATTGCCGATCGACTGGTAAAGAAAGGAACCTACTCCCATTAAGAGTGGGCTTAGATTTTGTAACCGATAAATATGGTTGGGTCGTGAAAGGATCTCAATCCCGGAGTTAGTTCCGTTCACGACTCAACTTTCGACCGTTGTCAATGGCGCACGCCCGACTTGGCATTGCAGTCACATACCTGAGTGAGTTTTACTGTTTTCGCGCTTGTTTTCGCAGTCTGTTCTAGTCGGCTGTTAACCGAAGTGTAGTGTATATTCTGTATTATTTTGTGAAATGATGAATATTGAGGATGAAACTAATGTTCAAAATGGAAAAAAAAACGTATGCGCCAGCCAGAGAGCTGGAAGTCTAATGTCAGGAAGGTGAATAAATTAAAAGGAGAAGCATATAAAACTGCAAAAGGAAATATAGTTCCAAAAAAGACAATCGTGTCGCCTATATGCAGGTAAGGCTATACAACCATTTTATGTCGTTTTCGGTGGTTGTAATTCTTATTATTTTCAGCTGTAAAATGGATTGTTACAAAAAGTTTACAATGGATCAACAAATTGATTTATTAAATACCTTCCACAATCTGAATTCTAAAAATGAACAGGACCTTCATTTACAACGGCTTATGGAATGTTTCCCGATTAGACGCAGAAGAGGGAACGTAGAGAAACGCAATGCTAGTTTTAAATTTTTTGCATTCGAAATAATGATCGGGTGGCAGTATGCCGCAAAGCATTTATGAATTTGCACGTTGTTAGCCAAAAACGTGTTTATCGTATTGCAACATTACTTTCTCAAGGAATAACTCCAAAAGACAAAAGAGGTTATAATATTAAATCTCATGCAGTCTCTGCGGAATTATGCAAACAAATTCATGATCATATTGGATCTTTTCCTACTAAAAGCAGCCATTATGGGCAAAGCCATATTACATATTTGGATGCAAGACTCAATGTAAAAATAATGTAACAAACTTTATAAATCAAAATATCCAAAGACAACGGTCAAATATGAATTTTATTTAAAATATTTTAATGAAAACTTTAACCTGCGATTTGGTCGGCCTCAAATTGATGTTTGTTCATCGTGTGAAGCAATGGAAACAAAGTTAAAGAATCCCCACTTATCTCAGTCTGTAAAGCTAACAGTAGAAGCTGAACTTCAAGTACATAAAAGGCGAAGTAAGAAATTTTATAACCAACTAAAAGCTACTCGAGAACTTTGCAAGTCCGATGAAACAACGTGTGGTCTTGTATTTGACTTTATGCAAAACTTGCCATTGCCACATATCCCAGTGCAAGAAATCTTTTATATGAGACAGATATGGGTATATGCTTTTTGTATCACAAATTTGAAAGATAACTCATCACGCATGTATCTATATTCCGAGGGTACAGCTAAAAAAGGCGCAAACGAAGTATGCAGCTTTCTCATGGACTACATTAGAGAGTGTGTACCAGAAACGGCTAAAACGTTGTATTTGTTTTCTGACTCCTGTCCTGGTCAGAATAAAAATCATACTTTCATCCGTTTTTGCTTGGGTCTAGTTGAGACAGAAAGATTTGGAAATATTATCCACAGATTCCCATAAGAGGCCATTCATTTCTAGACTGCGATAGGACATTCGGCCTATTTAAAAGAAGTATAAAGAAAGCAGATCGCATTTATCATCCTATGGAGTATGTTGAGTTAATCGCCAACGCAAAATCAAACATAACAGTAAAAGTTATTCGTACGGAAGATATCAAGGACTTTAATAAATGGTGGCCAGCGCTGTACAAAAAAACGGTGTTATCTCTGGAATCGTATGGCAGAAACGTTCCCCGTCAACAAAAGCAAACTTTTGCACCAGCCTCGTTCATGGAGTTCAAGTATTTACAAAATGGTCACTTGCAGACATCAAAGTTTATAGGGAGCTTCTTTAAGCACACATTTAATTTAAAACAACCAGGAATTAGACCGAGGCCATTAAACCTATTTGATGCTTTGTGTATTGCTTACCCTGAGGGAAAAGTGCCAATCAATAAACATAAAGTTGACGCTGTCAGAAAGTTATTAGTTTATATTCCCGAAGACAATGAAGAATTTAAGCACTTTTATGAAGCTTACCTTACATGGCCTACTACTATGGAAGAAAACGATTAGTTTAAATAATGACAATGTAATAATTTAGTATTGATAAATCTGACTTGAAACTAATAATTTGTTTCATTTATTTTTACATACAAGCAATTAGTTTTAGAAGGAACTAATTCCAACGCAATTTTTTTCAAATAAAACTTGTTTAAAAACAAATAACCTACTGGGATTATTGTTAAAAGTACTGCAGCATAGTTGCTTTCAATCTACCATAACGTCGTTTTGCTAAAATTCACTAGTGTAGTTTATAAACAGTTTTTTTTAATTCCCAACATTTTATTTGTGTGGAGTTTAGTTCCTTTCAATAATCACCAATTCTATTATTTTTATCGCATGGTGTTTGGTAGTGAAGTGCTACTTCAGCTCGACCACCAACTGAGGAGTAATGTTAAGTCAACCTGGAGCTTTTATTTACTTCTAACCTTCGGTGGTCTAGTGTCAGTTCGAAACCATCTGAAATAGCTTTATGACCTAACAGACTAAAGACAGAAAAACGCTAAAAAACACGGAAAAAAGCTTTTTTAAAAGCAAAAAAAACCAGCAAAAAAACGCTAAAAACACGAAAAATTACTGAAAAACACAAAAACAGCGAAAAACGCTTAAAACATGAAAAATACTTAAAAACGCAAAAATCACCGAAAAAAAACGTTAAAAATACGAAAAATGCTGAAAAACGCAAAAATCACCGAAAAAACGTTAAAAACCCGAAAAAATACTTAAAAAATGCCAAAAACACCGAAAAACGCCTAAAAAACACAAAAAATGCTTTAAAAAAGCAAAAAAACACGAGAAAGGTAAAAAAAATACGAAAATGCTGAAAAACGCAAAAAACCGAAAAAAACGTTTAAAAAACACGAAAAAATGCTTAAAAACGCGAGAAATGCCAAAATCATCGAAAAACGTTTAAAAACACGAAAAATGCTTTAAAAATGCAAAAAACAGGGAAAGAAAAAACGCTAAAAACACGAAAAATTCTGAAAAACACAAAAAACAGCGAAAAAACGCTTAAAATATGAAAAATACTTAAAAACGCAAAAAAATCACCGAAAACGTTAAAAATACGAAAAAATGCTGATGGAAAAAAGCAAAAAATCACCGAAAAAACGTTTTTAAAAACCCGAAAGCAAATACTTAAAAATGCCAAAAACACCGAAAAACGCTAAAAACACAAAAAATGCTATAAAAAAGCAAAAAACACCGAGAAAGGTAAAAAATACGAAAAATGCTGAAAAACGCAAAAAACCGAAAAACGTTAAAAAACACGAAAAATGCTATAAAAAACGCGAGAAATGCCAAAATCATCGAAAAAAAACGTTAAAAAACACGAAAAATGCTCTTTATAAAAAATGCAAAAAACAGGGAAAAAAACGCTAAAAAAACACGAAAAATTCTGAAAAAACACAAAAAACAGCGAAAAAACGCTGAAAACATGAAAAATACTTAAAAACGCAAAAATCACCGAAAAACGTTAAAAATACGAAAAATGCTTAAAAACGCAAAAATCACCGGAAACAACCGTTTAAAAACCCGAAAAAAAATACTTTAAAAATGCTCCAAAAAACACCGAAAAACCCTAACGCAAAAACACAAAAAAATGCTTACTAAAAAAGCAAAAAAACACCGGGAGAAAGGTTTAAAAAAATACGAAAAATGCCTGAAAAAAAACGCAAAGAAAACACGGAAAAACGGGGTTTTTAAAAAACACGGAAAAAATGCTATGAAAACGCGAGAAAATGCCAAAATCATCGAAAAAAAACGTTTTAATAAACACGAACGAAAAATGCTTAAATTAAAAAATGCAAAAAACAGGGAAAAAAAGGAAAAAAAAAAAAACGCTAAAACACGAAACAAAAAAAAAAAATTCTGAAAAACACCAAAACACAGCGAAAAAAACGCTCTAAACATGGGAAAAATACTTAAAAAACGCAGAAAAATCACCGAAAAACGTTTTTAAACATACGAAAAAAAATGCTGGTGAAAAACGCAAAAATCCCCGAAAAAAAACGTTATAAAAAAACCCGAAAAATACATTAAAAAATGCCAAAAACACCGGAAAAAAACGCTATAAAAACACAAAAAATGCTTAAATTTTTTAAAAGAACAAAAAAACACCGAGAGAAAGGTAAAAAAATACGAAAAATGCTTGAAAAAAAAAGAAAAAACGCACAAAACAAAAAACACCGAAAAAACGTTTAAACCACACGAAAAATGCTTACAACAAAACGGGGGGAGAAATAGTCCAAAATCATCGAACAAACCGATTAAAACACACGAAAAAATTGCTTAGAAATGGAAATACCACCGGGGGACAAGAAATAACGCTATAAAACACGAAAAATTCTGAAAAACGCAAAAAACAAACACCGAGAAAAACGCTAAAACACACGAAAAACATGAAGAAACACCCGCCATAAAGCAGCATTTTATTAAAACGCTTTTAAAAGAATTAAATTAAGCATACTGAAAAAACGAAAACCTGTTTAATCTTGTTCTTTCGATGAGCTGTTAGGTTGGCTTTTTTCGCGAGGGTAATTATAAGTCCGTTGCCAGCCTTTTCTTTACCCTCGCCATAAGATAGACCGACATGGTCAACAAATCGCTGGTTCTCTATACATTTTTATTAGGCATAAAAAATTATCGTTAGTTCACACGGCTTCAATCGTGTTTCGAGACACGAAGTCTTCTTATATCGAAAAAAAATGACTTACCTCAGGCAGAATCGGAGAAAAAGGCCACTCAAACAACGAGGTTCTGAAAATGGGCGTTCAAGGACAGGACTAGCTTCCGGAATTAGAACATAGCGCGCTGACTTTTTATAATAAACTTTGAAACTTGGAAAGCTTCTGACAACTATAAAAAGAGAGTTACCGTCAAATAAACACAGAAAATAGAATAACATAAAATAAAGAAAGGAATCAAGGGGAATAAAAAAAAATATAATTAGAATTAATATTATTATCAAAAAACCCGATGTTACCAAGTTAAAACTTAAACACCAAATCTTTAAAGACAATGGTGGGGAAAAAAGCTGCTAGGTTATATGGACTCAAAGACATGAGGTTAAAACAACAGAAATGTAATAAATGCAATTTGGAAACTTATGTTTAATGGAAGTACAGCTGCAAATTAGCCACTAATGGACAATGGGCCTATTAAAAACAGCAATCAATTTAAAAAATAGAGGACCTCACTTAAATAGAAAAAATTATACTTCAACCTGTAAATATAGTTGAAAATGGAATTTGGGACTGGCCAGAGAAGTGATTAGTTTCAGTTCGATTATTAATGGCAGAGTTTAAGATGTGTGTGGGAGGCCAACCACGTGATAGTAGCGGAAGTGAACGAAGTCACTAAACCCGAACCTTTGAAGCTGGGTGGAACGTGTGGGCGATTAGGCAGCTGGATTATTATCTGATGCAAATGCGAACAGGCCCATGGCTGCTTTCGCACTTTACCTTTTTCAAGTTTAGGTTGGGCGGAGTCCGATCCAGTACCTTTAATGTGGTCTCTCGGATTACTGTGACACACACGCATGTTGGATTGTAAGTATTGGGCAAATGAAAAAGAGAAGTGTTTTGAAAGAGAAGTGTAACTGCCAGAATGTTGTTACTACGTGAAAGAAATGGGTTAAAGAAAATGATAGAGATAGGATTGGGGTGGCGGTGGGACACCGCGATCCACAAACTTATCAGGGAGCTGCTCTCTTCAACATGAACGAGAGCTCAGTCCGATCGATAGAAAGCGGGAACTTCGCACGAGAATTTTAAAACGAGCAATAGTAGCACCTAGGTGGGGTTTGGATCTGTGTCGCAGACTCTGAAATAGGAGATAATGAGAACACAGATGACACAAGATAGTTGGCCAGCTTCCCCCCCGCTGAGAGGCTAGGGGACAGTGTTTTTTTTAGGGTGTAACGCCTTATCGTTCTCAGGAGTGGTGATGGGACGGCAGTATTCAAAGGGTGTTAAAACTCTTTCTTTATCCTTCCATCTTCTTTAAGGATATAAATAAAATATTTTTTAAAATGCATAAAAACTTACCTCGCCAAGTTGGCCACCTTATACAACAGAATTCTTTGTTGCCTGTGCCTGACTTTTCGCGCGTTCTCCGTCCCTTACCCCTTGGCTCGAGTTTTTTGCTAAACTTCCTCAGTTTCATTTTAGAGCATACCGCACACAAGGCTCCTCTTGGGCTGAAATTTAAATCAAAATTAATATAAAATCTAATGTAAATAAATATGTATTAAATAAAAATAATAGAAGAAAAATTTTACCAAAAAGAAATTTGAAGGGAAATAGTCGAACATTCCGACTAAAATGTTTGTGAATGATAAAAAAGATTTAAAATGATATAGATGATTTGCAAAGGATTGAAAAACACAAACCCAGGATTTAACACGGCAAATTTTACATGAAGAAGAAAAGAAAAAAAGAATGGGAAAAAATCGAGGGAGTGAGAAGTGAGTTTTAAAGAGATTGGTCAGTATTAAATTAAAAATCGAATAAGGATTCACTAACAATATAGGGACGAGTGATCTTTAAGTACTGTTTCTGGTGGGTAAAACTGTTTACTCGCACATACAAAGTGGTATTATAAATACAAATTTTTTAATTCAAAAAATATCTTCAGTTACATTTTTTTACTTTAACAACTTTTTTTTCTACAAGGGAGTCTTTTAGAAAGGAAGGGCTGTGAAGTAGCAGTTGGTAAAACTTATTTTTATCTTTATCCAGCATCTTCAAAATTTAACATATTTTCAGACAGGGATATTCAGGTTTATTTGTCTCATTTATAGAGATCAAAATCTCTGAGGGGAGCTGAAAAACACAAAACACATTAACAGAAAACACCGAGATCAGAAACGCAATGATTTTGATGAAATGGATAAACTAACAATGTATTTATAACAACTAGACAAATGTTTTAGAAATAATAGTTTTGCTCTAGTTAAAAATACAACATCACTGAAATATGTTGTATAAATCAAGTTTTCAGTATTTGACCTTCTTTTTTAAGATATGGTTTTCCAAAGTACGATAAGCCTCACCCTTAAAAGGAATTTTATTTCTTTCTGTACATTGGACCTCTCTAAATGAGGGTTGATTAACTGGTACAGGCTACACAATTGAATAAAAAATGACTATTAATGTTTTAATTAAAGTGTGAATAATGATTAAAAAAAATCTTAGAATGTTCGAGTATTACTGCTGCTTATAGCAGTTGTATTAGGGAATGCCTTTTAAACAAACAACTTAACAATATTATTCAATCTCTTAGACTAATAAATAATGTAAAAACACAGATTATAATTGCGGTAAACATTCCTGCAATATATCAACCTGAGATGCATGTCAAACATTGTAATTAAATCTCAAACATTCAGTAAAGTCAGACCTCTTTTATTAATATCTTATATTTTCTTCTTACTTTCGCCCCAAGCAAGTAATCTTCCCCCGTGACTGGAAGGAATTTGGGTTATCACAGTCTCTTTGTGCTATGGAAATGCCACCTCCACAAGTTCTTGAGCAGGATGACCAGGAACCCCAAGGTCCCCAACCGCCATTTACTGCATCTGGTCGTTCTCCTATCTCGATACACTTTTTGTGAAAACACCACTTGAACCAAAAAAGAAGATTAACAAGATTAACAAGTTTTCATATCTTATATAAGTATTTAATCACAATAGAAGAAAAGAGTACGTAGCTTTCATTTACTAAAACATAAGCATAACATACTTGTACTCGGGTCTTATAGAATATAGATTACTCTTTGATTTATATTCTGACAACATTTTTAAAGAATCTCTAATAGACTAAGCCTGTATCAATAAAATCCTATGCCATAATCTGCAAGCCATCAAACATCTGCTGAACTATGTCAACGAAGTAAGAGGAAAAATGTGTTTGAACATAAATGTGGATTAGACCAACATACTGATGCCCCGCCCCCCCACCGCCCCCACCCCAAAAAGTTCGTTTGCCATAGAACAAATTCGACCTCCAAGTAAGGAAAAAATTAGATACCAAAACTTCTGGTTATCCATTTAGCCATAAACTAAAATTAATAACTCTTCTGAAATGATAACAATAATTTAAAACTAAGACAGAAGATTATATAGTAAACATAAACTTAACTCTGAAAGGACCACTTCAAATCGGCTAGAGGCTCTAGAGATCTGGATTTACCAAAAAATGTTAGAGATACAATGGGTAGAAAATGATTTAAAGAAATCTTAAAAGTGCTTATCGTTTTCAGAGAATACAGAACAAAGGTGTAATATAAATATAAATAAAATTGTTGCACATGAAAGAAGTGAAAAGAACATAAATAGGTGGAGAATCAAGGTGATAAAATGGAGACGTACACAAAAAAATGCCAAAAGATCACCGCAGATTATTCAGTAAAATACGATATTTACTTTGTTATTACCACACTTGGTGCCATCTGCTGGTAGGCTCACCTCTAGACGAACAGGACCCAGGTTCGGTTTTGCAGTACAGCGTTGCACAAAATTCCTCCTCTTCCAGTATACAAGTCAGGGGATCGCGGAAAACATTTGATAATGCGCACATTGAGCCGTCATGAGTCATAAATGGTTCCAGGAAGGGCATTTCTCATCGAATAAATAGATACTTCTGGTTCGTCGTTGAGACAATCACCCAAGTTGTTCCTTGAAATAAAAAATAGTGAATATTGGTTATAAAGTATAATAAAGAACAATATAATATTGAACATGAATTCCAAGAACACAATGCAAAAATAAAATACAATATGATAATATCAGCAAAAAAACCAAATGTAGAATACATTTAAAGAAGAGACTACATTTAAACATTAAAGATAAACATAAACATAAAGATGACAACATAAATATAATCTACCACTTTTACTTAGAATTATGTAAAAACACAAAGGCATCATTATAAGGAATGACAAAGCGAACCAAATCGACTGGGGATAAAGATGGAATAACTGCAGAGATACTGAAATATGCTGGAAAAAAGTGGTAATTAATACCCTACATTCCCTTTTTAAACAAGATATTAAAAGAAAAAAGACTCTAATCAACTGGAAGGAATCCTGTAACCATTATCCTACAAAAAAAGGGGAGTATAGCAAATATAAAAAAAAGCATTACCTATCTATAAACAATCACTCAATTGTAATGATGTAAACTCCTAACAAAAATTTTTAACCAATAGATTGACGACAAAATGTCGACGGATTGGCTGTAGTCGAAAGGAACAAGCTAGTTCTTAGAAGAAAGTAATTTTTAGCACAAAGTGAATCATTTACTAAGTATGAAAATACTTAAAGAACGATTAAGATGAATCCACATTCCTCTATATATATACCCTTTATAGATTTACGCAAAAGGCTTTCGACAGAGTATGTCGAAAATTGGGGCAGGGGCATCAAAAAGTTCTATTCATTAACAGCAAGGTACACGACCACAGATTTACGTAAACTAATAGCCAATTATATGTATATATATATTAGATCTATATATATATAATATATATAGATCATATAATAAAATATATTGTTATGATATGTAAACTCAAGAAAAATATTGGTTTGCTTAAAAATATTTCAAAGTTCAAAAACATTAAAATAATTCAGATAAGTCAAACAATAAACTACAAACATTTCGAAGAATGAAAGTCTTTTAATTTTGGATTACCTGTATTTAACAAAACGTAAGATATGCATAAATTATTTTCTTTGTTAAAATATATTTGTATGACGTGAATAAGCTTAAGTGAAATAAAAGACAATTGAACCGGGTTTTCCAAATACATTAGTGCAGTGATTAGGACAATAGAATAGATTTTAGAAAGATAGGTTTTTGTTAGTTTTTAAGAATTGTAGAAAAATATTATTTGTAAATAAGTTTTAGGAAATTTTATAATTATAGGTAAAAATTTGTTTGTTATCGAAATGAAAAAATGGGAGATGGATGACGCGTTTTGATTGGATGAAATTGAAAAAGGTGGGATGATTGGTTGGAGAATGAGACGTTAGTTAGTTTTGGAAACAAAAAAGATAGTCAGTTGGTTTTCCAAGTCTGTAAGACGAACAGTGATTGTTCTCTGGTGGTTCCCGAGAGGTAGCAAGCAGTAGTGTTGAATGTTAGTGAGTTTTTGTGGAGTTAGTGTATCTGACAGAAGCTGAAGCAGCAAAATATTGTAAGTCATATTTTTCTACTTATATTCCAAGAGTCACTGTTCAGGCCAACGAGAGATTCAGTTTATCGTAAAGAGAAGATATTCCAAGAGTCATTTTTCACTCGGGCCAACGAGAGATTCAGTTTATCGAGAGGAGAAAGGCTATCATAATTTGAATGATTCGTGCTTTTGAAGGAGATCATTAAGGACGATATACTTGCAACAATTTGTTGTAAGATTGCTGATTACCTAGGGAGCTGCTAAGAATAGATAATATAGGCTACCAGGAACAAGGATTTGGACCACTCATCATCAGAGAGAGATCGTTTTGTTTTTCTGCAGTTTTTCTTTTATTGATAACACAATTTTTACAATTACTTTAGAAAAGATATAAATTTTTGATTAGGAGATTTAGAATAATAATTGGGATTTTGAGATTTTAACTAATATTGTTTATACCATTAATTTTGAAGGTTCACGTACGTAGAACAAAATTTTAAGAATCATTATATGAGATATTGTTTATTGAAAACATTTGAGTGTGAATTTTATTTCATTATTTTTATTTCAATATATAGTGTTATATCATATGTGTTTTTTTATTATTCCGGTATTCTTTGGACCTTACCTTTCACATGTGAAGCATAGATATTGAAGCACGAATTTAACCCTGAGATAAGAGAATTAAAAAGTGTGATAGAGTCATAATCATATCCATTTAAATAATTTTTTAATTAATTAATTTAATTGATTAGCTATTAATTTGTTTGGCGCACCAAGACTTTAAATAATCACCATAATAAAATTTATATATATATCAATATATATATATATTTATTATATATATATTTATATATTATCATATCATATAAGGAAGACAAAACAAACCAATTAAAGAATTATAGAAGGACCAAAATCAATACAAATAAATAGAGGCGTGAGATAAGGTGACACAATATCACCGAAACTTTTTAATCAGGCTCTGGAAGATATTTTTAAAAGATTGGAATGGGAAGAAAAAGGTATAAAAATTTGTGGACAACGCTTAAATCATCTAAGGTACGCTGATGACATCGTATTGATAACGAATAAAAAAGAATAATTGTTTAAAATGATTATTATTATTATTATTGATGGGCAGATGATATCAAGAGGCACGTGGGCTCTAGATGGATGACTGTAGCGATAGACAGAGAAGAATGGAAAAGGATTGGAGAGGCCTATGTTCAAAGATAGACCGAAGAAGGCTAATTAGATAGGTAAATTTGATTATAAAAAACACCCTGTATTTAAAAATCAAGTTTTTCTATTTATAAGACTAAGTTTTATGTAACTAAAAAATGTAATTATCTAGTTATCTCGTTTTTCTTTTTAACTAAAATGAACTTTAATTCAAGTTTTCGTAGATATTTTGCTCAACTAATTTTATAATGTAATAATGTAAATAATTTTCATATGAAAACATTCTTTATCTCTTTTAGAAAACGCTTTCATGTAAGATAAATCACAAAATAAATACGTTTACGTGTAAGAGCGACAAGAGTAGTCAAGCATCTTCATAACAATATAATTGAATGGATCTTACTCGAACAAAGCTGTCATAAATCCTCTGCTACACGTAGACCAGCGTGTAGTAAACATATGAACGTAGGGAGCCATAATATAATAAGACTCATCTTCTGCTTGTGATGGACAGGCAGACTCGCCCTCGGTGTCATGGGCACATCCCATTCTAAAAAATAATTGTTTCTATATATCTCTTAGATGTATTAGATAAAATAAGTTTATTAATTAGAAATTAACACGAGATATACAAAAATTAAATATAAATAACTCGATTTTAAAATTAGTTATCAAATAAAAATGGATTTTTTCTTTCACTGACATAAAAAAAAAGATTTTTGGATTTGAGGCCTTATATCAAAACTAAATAATTGGTAAAAACATATCACAATCACAGTTGCATATTAAAGGTTTGTGATGCCCACATTTATTCTAGACTGCTATTTGCAATTATTTTTTGGGGAAACTCAAGCCTCATAATTTTTGTCTTCAAATCAGAGTAAAAAATTGTTTTAATTTAATTTGTTTTCAGGCGCGTTGCTGGAAATCTACAGTTGGGCAACTACAAATAATAATGAATTGAAAACTGTGAAATGGAGTCACACGAGCAACCAATTCATTATTTTAAAAAAGAAATCTTTTCTACTGAAAATAGTAAAAATTTTGATAAAAAAAACTTATTTCAAATATACGTACACATGGCCAATTTCATGTGTGACAACGATTCCCAATGTTAAACCACCATCTTCATTAATGGCACAATTTTCTTCTTTCGTACAAGCTCCAGCGACGTAAGCTAAGCCCATAAGTCCACAATCCTTGCCTTCATCCGCACATATGTCGTACCTGAAAAAAAAAAACCAACGGCATTGTTTTTGTACAAGTAGCTTTTACTACATCTTAAAAGGTAATACAAGAAATATTGAAAAGAACACAGATTTGCTGTTTCAACAAGGTATGTGTAGCTGTCCACTCCGTCAATTGGATGTTGGTTAACAAAAGCTGTGTATTTAATATGTCGCGCTTACTGACTACCATGTACTTTGTTTTCTTCGTATTACGATCAAGTCCGTGTTTTCTACTTATATCTGATGTACGCGATATTATTCTTTGCAATCCGTCTAGACTATCTGCAAAAACTACTGCGTCGTCGGCATATCTAATGTTGTTTAGACGCATTCCGTTGACTAATACGCCTTCTTGTAGTTCTCCCAGCGCTTGCTCGAAGATATTATATTCAGAGTATATATTTAATAACATCGGGGACAGAGTCCATCCTTGCCTTAGTCCTCTATCTTTGGAGACTGCCTCTGTCAATTGGTCATCCACTTTAATATTGGCTGTTTGGTTGTATATAAATTATAGATGATTCTCAAGTCACCATCATCTAACCGCACTTCTTACAAGATGTTTATGAGTTTATCATGCTTTACTCTATCAAATGCCTTTTTGTAGTCGATAAAACAAATATACACATCACAGTTTACATTCCTGCATCTTTGCATAAGCACTAGGACAGCGAATAGAGCCTCTCGGGTGCCTAAGGAATCGCGGAATCCAAACTGCGTGCATGATGCTTGTTCTTCGTATTTTTTTATATATTCTGCCGTGTATCACTTACAAGAACGTTTTAAGTAAGTGGTTCATTAGGCTAATTGTTCTGTAGTCTTCGCATGTCTTGGCATTTACTTTTTTCGGTATGGTCACGAAGGTCGACTTTAACCAGCTTTGGGGTATTTTTCCAGTTACGTATATGTTGTTGAATACAGTTGTTGTCCATTTTATTCCCTGTTCATTCATAAGTTTTAGGAATTCTGCACAAAACTCGTCAGGCCCTACCACATTACCATCTTTAGTTCTTTTAATGGCTGACGTGACTTCTTCAATGGTAACCGGGGTCCTGTTTGGCATTCAGTGTCTTCAATGGTATTCTGCCTTTCATCTGCAAAAGTTACTTCCACATAAATCTTCCAAGTGTCTAGTTTTTTTTCCACAGTTAACAGTGCTTTGCCTTGATTATCTGCCAAATACCCAAGTCTTCTAGGTTTGTATAAGCCTGCGGCTTCTTTAACTTTTTTGTGCATATTAAATGAATCGTGTTTATGTTGCAATTGCTCTATTTCTGCACACTGTCTTCTTAAATGTGTATCATTAGCTATTCTAATAGCTTTTTTGATCTTTTTATCGATTCTTTTGTATAATGACATGTCTTGATCTTTGAACTTTTGCCTCTCTTCCATCATATTAGAATCTCATTTGTCTTCCACGATTTCTACTGTATTTTTGGTGGTTTGAGGAAAAAATAAACTTGACAGGGCTTTATTTTGTTTATAGGATTGTGTTATTTTCGGTCATCATTATTTATTTATTGTTTCACAATTTTGTATGATGTACTTTCATTATATTAACTTCACTAAACTTTATAATTAGTATTAGTTTTATAAGGATATTTTTTTTGTTTTTTAGGCGTAATAGGAGCTTGCTCCTATGCCCTTATTTGTTATATAATAATAATAATAATAACTATAGTTGTCATTCATTAAAATTGGAAATTTTTTAAACACAAAGGCCATATTTAGCAGTTTAGATAAATTAAAATAGTTATTTACATTAAAATAATGAATAATACTTTTGAAAATGTACGCATACCTTGCAACAGAGTATGAATATTTAGAATGTCTTTCGCTATAAATTAATAAACTAATCACCCACCTCTATTTATTTAAAACATCAAACATTTCATGAGTAATTGCGTAATAACCATTAAAATTTCTACATAAACTCTAAATCATAAAGCAACAAACTAAGTCGCCCACTTACCTCGTTAACAAGACGGCAATATCATGATAATTCGGATTAGTTATATCTTTGGGATTAATCTTGACCTGCCACTTGCAGAAGCTGGCAAGCGTGCTTTCCGCGTCGGTGTTTATCACCAGGTCGATTTCCTCTTCTTCTTTTTCTAAATACATAACGCGCACCACGACGATGTCCATTTGGTTGCCGCTGGAAGCGTCGTGGTAAAAGTCTGATACCTGAGGACAAATAGTTCACTATCAATAACTACATATTCGGATTTATCTGAATATTGCTTGTTTTTATAGATATTCATAAAATTAAAAGTATTTTTGATATCCACCGGTCAATCCGAAAAGACGTAAGAGAAAACAATACAAAAAAATAACTAAAATAATTCAAGAAAACAAGAGTTAAAAGTGTTAAGGCGAAATACGAATAACATAGGCAACAAAAATATGTACAAAATAAAAAACAAAGATGGAAACATTACTACTGATAGAACCAATATTCTTGTAGTTGTCGAATACTTTTATCGCGATATGTATAAGAGCACCGACGAAAGTCAAGATCAGCCCCTGCCCAAAATCACAAACCAGGGATCAGAATTATTACCAGAAATAATTCCATACGAAATTAAACCAGCACTTTTAGAAATGAAAAATAACAAATCCCCTGGCCATGACGGAGTAGTAATCGATGCGATCAAACTAGGTGGAAATAAAATTATCCAGGCTTTGGTCAAGCTGTTCACCGAATGCATCTACCATGAAAACATCGATCTCATCTCATAGTAAATAACGTCATCCTAAACAATCAACAAGATAAGGCCGAAGCTTTTAAAATCACATTACAGACCACCCTCATTTCCCCTAATAGTCCAAATTTCTGCAAAAGGTCCAAAAGAGCCGCCGAACGGAGAGTGCAAGATATATTCTACTACCCACAGGCACATGATGGACCCCATCCTCACCCGATGATGGTACCTGTGACTGAGGACACTGTCAGGCAGATGTGTAACTTGGGTAAAAACACATCTTCTGGCCCAGATGGCATCCACAGAAGATGCCTCAAGAATCTTCCACAGAATATTATCCCGTTGCTTACTAATATAATCAATGCATCTCTAGCGCTGAGCTACGAAAAAAGGCAAAACCCTCACCAACCCTAAATTGTACAGACCCATTTCACTACTGAGCACCCTAGGTAAAGTCTACAAGAGGATCCTTAAGGAGAGACTCGTAGAATTCCTAGACGCTCACTTCTTATTCCCAATTACCAATTCGGATTCAGGGGTGGACACTCCACACAAAATGCATTAGTTGAAGCAACAACTTTCATCTCGGAGTCAATTAACGAAAGGAAACACATCATGGGCATATTCCTCGATGTCCAGAAGGCATTCGATCAGGTCTGGCATACACGCCTGATTGAAAATCTCCACCTCGCTGGACGGCCAACACCTTTCGTTAAACTAATTAATTCCTATCTCTCCCACCGGACGGTCAGGATCATAGTAGCTGACCACCTATCCACCCCTTCACTCTACAAGCTGGAGTGCCCCAAGGTTCAATATTTGCACCGATACTTTACAAAGTCTAGAATAGTGACATTCCCCGCCCAGAGCAAGGATCAGAGTCTCTCCTCCTTTTTGCTGATGATACGGTCATTCTCACTTCAAGCTCCCACAGAGAGGGTGAACGACGCTCTGTATTCGACAGATTGCAAGAATACCTCGACAGAGTCGTGAAGTGGTGCAACAAATGGAGGGTTACAATAAACCCCTCCAAAACTCAAGCAATATTATTCAAATCCCCTTACTGTCGTGACGTCCAGGGCCGGATATCCTCCCATTCTCAGGAACTCGGTTCTCTACTTGGGAGTTCGTTTTACCAGAAATCTCCACTGGAAGGCCGACGTTCGGGAATCCCTTGATAGGGTGAGACAGAGGTTCAATCTCCTGAAAGTCCTAACCGGTAAAATTGGTGGAACGTTCTCCAAAACTTTGTTGCACACCTACAAGACTTTTGTCAGGCCCATAATCGAATACAAGGCATGCGTTTACCTTTCTCTCAAGAGCCACCAACAGAATGCCATCGCAGCTACAGAACGTAGAATGCTAAGATACTATCCGTATCCATCAGCCCACATTCACAGATTGGCCAACATCACGCCAATCAAGGACAGAATCCTAACCCTTATCAGGGTATTCCTAAGAACCATAGTCGACTCGAACAACCGAGCAAAACGAACCGTTAAGACGCCTTGCAATTTTAGAAGGCAAATACTAACCAGGTATCCCACTAAGAAAGTTCCGTTTCATACAGCAAAACTTCTACATAACACTGGACATGAACTTCCTGATCAGTATTTTGAAATTCTTAAAACATTCCTCATCCAATATCGCAGATAAAGACTGCGCGCCAAAAACGCTGATAAAGAGCCATTCCTACTATATGGCTGGTAACTCCTGAAGTACCTCAACTGGCATGCCAGGCAGATCCTACTTCTTCTTGTGCGTTCTTATCGATCCTTATCGATCACACACATAAGTCACCTTTTTCCCCTGCTCCTTAGTAGTTTACTACTTCTGAGCTCGTGCATCATTTAATTGACTTTTCTCACACCCCTCACAACTTCGTTAAAAAAAGGAGTCACCCATTCCTTGAAGAGGCTCAGGCCTAAACAAAGTTAAAACTCATGTGTCATGGACGCTAAATTATAATTCTGTCAGCCTAGAGAAGAAACTGTATTTGGATCCGGTTAACATAGATAGCACTAACTACCACTTACTAGTGATAAAGAACCTAATAGAGTAATCTTCAGAATACAACAAACCATTGGCACTGATATTTGTCGTCTACGAGAAGGCATTCGATATCATAAGCCATCACAAAATGTTAAAAGCATTGACAGAATGCCAAATAGACTATCGATACACATCATAATCAAATATTTATTTATATATATATATATATATATATTATATATATATATATATATATATATATATATATCAAAATGCCACAGCTAGCGTAAGACTATCTGAAGAAGAACCAAGACATACTTGTAAGAAAGCACATCTGAACGAACATGGAATCAATATAAATGGAGAGAAGCTCAGTCATTTGTGATTTGTGATAGCCGATTGTATGGGACCAGGCACGTCCATAATAATGGGCAGCATATAAACAACTCCCCCAACACCGTATCCCTACAATAGTACATCTTATTGCACATAACCAGAAGGACGACTAAAATTACAAAAATGGCAGTCGAATTTTCACTATATTCAGTTGAAATTAAAACTTTCTTTTAGAAACTTTTAATGACTGTGGAAGAACAAAATTTATTTCAAAATTCATGTTGATGTTTTGTCATAACTTCTTTGATTTTTAAAATTGATAAAAGTTGTAAGAGTGTTGAAAGATGACACGTGCAGAAACGCACTAATTTCTCATGAGTTTGAAAAATTGCGATATTTTTTTTTATTCTCGAATCAGCACCCCTTGAACAAAATTATTATCAGCAGTTTCCACTGGTTATTTCTTAATTTTTATCAGAAAAGATATAAAACTTCATTCAGTATAATAACCGCGTAAAATCATAGTGTACACACCAGGTCATTTCTTGATATTTATAAATGTTTAAGTATATTACCAAAATCTTATATATCAAAGTGTACTGACAAAATATAGTGACATACAAAAAGCAAACGGAAGCGAGTCTCACCCTAAAACGATCAGTTATAAATATATGTATAATATTTATTTTATCCTCGCGACCCTTATATATGTATAATATTTATGACGTTGGCTCAAATTGGATCTCAAATTTGCTTCTATTTTCATCCAGCCCCAGAGTAAATAGACACTGCCAAGTCTAGTGGGCGTGTAACAAATTAAGTAAATATCAATTCATAATAAGTTGTCAGCGGAAATGCTTCCAGCATTCTCTTCGAGTTTGATTATTGTACGATGCAAACTTGTAATAATTATAACCGTGTTTGTAGAAGTAAGTGAATTTGTTAACTCTGCAACAATATTTATGAAATTCGCAGGATGTTTTCTTAATATACAGTGCCGTTGAAAAATATCATAAAGCTAGCCTTTTGTAACATATACAAAAAGTATACGAAGACGGTTGTGTTTCGATTTAATTTGAGCCTCTTACCACTCTCTAACACGTGTTTCTGGGTCTACCCGTCATCAGAGAGAGTTTTTAAGAAGATTCAAACCAAATCAAAACGCACCGACTACTCTGGCAATTATAGGAAAAACAATTACCAGAGTATGCTACTAGAGACCGCTAATGAGGAAAGATGAAGTTAAATGTGTCGATAGCAATTAAAGTAAACTGTATACCCAAGCTTAATGGCTTCTAAATAAAGAATGCTAATAAAGTGATAAGGCAAAATAAAAAAAGTTGAGGAGCCGAAAAAAATGCAGGAAATAGAGCAAGAAAGGACAAACAGAAATACGAAAAATTTTTACAAAAAGATTAAAGAACAAAACAAAAAAATACAAAAGCAAAACAAACGGAATAAAAAATAGGGAGCGAACTGTGAAAATAGAGGATCAAGAATACAAGCAAGGATGGAGGGATTACTATAGAGAGCTCTTGACAGGGGGAAACGACAGGAGAAGAATTGCAGAACAAAGAGGAAATGGTGCACGAAGAAGAAGCAGATGAAGTAGATGAAGTAGACATCGAAATTTCAGATTAAAGATGCAGGTGTGTTTGTTCTTACACACTTGACCTGATGCCTTTGTTTCGCGCACCAGTCATAGGTCGCTGGTTTTTTCCCTTGGAAAACAAGGTTTTTCCTTAGGGAAATAGGTTCACTTTGTATACTTCTTTGGAGGACCACCCAGAAAACTGAGACAAATGAAAGTTTCGAAAAGAACGTTTTAACAAGTATATTTAAACAATTACTACGTATTTTGGACGCCAATAACATTCTTACAATAGCTGATTTATGAAACTAAATTTTATAAAACTATAAAACTAAATAGATAACTTTTGGGATACCATATTGACACGAACTGAGTAAACTTATTAATATTCCAACTGTGTTATACCTTCTGAAGTGCCGCTGGGGCGAGTGGAGCCTAGGGCTCATCCAATGCTGGAATTTGAACTGATACTGATCACTTCCTTCAATTCTTCGGCTCGTAATTGTTTCGAAACATTCAGAAATCTTCCCCCTGAACATCTCTACGTATATAAAGGATATGTGACTTTCATTTTATATAAAATTACTTGAGAAGGCTATTTATCAATTTTCGTTAATGTTGGGGAATTTCAAATGACTCAAACCGATAATTTGGAATTACTAATCCTTTCATTGTTAGATTCTTTAAAGGTTTTAGAAGCTTAAGTCTAGAAAGTTATTTGAATGCAAGCTATCGGCGCCTTACAGATTATTAGTTCAGTATAATTAAAAGTATGAAACAAGGAGATGTCTTATCAACAAGTCTATTTAATCTAGTATTAGAATATGTTCTACGAAATATAAGTTAAGGAAATCTTAGAACAAGAGGTTGTCAAATAATTACATATGCACTCGATATTGCAATTATTGCAAAAAATAGGAAAATAATGAAAGAAATGCTTGAAGAAATTAGAGAGCAAGGGGAGATAATGGAATTAAGATTAAATCAAGAAAAGACAAAATTATTAAGATTTGG